ACATCAGGTCTAGCGCAGTCATATACATAATATCTATTAAGTATATGACTATAGTTAATAGATATTAAGTATATCACTACGCTAAATCGGATTTTTCTGATTACCTCGTCAGTTATCGGCAGGGAGAAAGTAGGATATTTAGTTATACTATTCAGTTTACGGTAATCAACGTCAAATCTTCACGAATTCGAATCTGAGGGTGAGAGGCCATTTCTCTTTCTAGTATATAAAACTATCGGTCTTGCGTAGGGGCTACTACATGGAATAATTAATTTATTTGCCAGTATTTGTTTAATATGCTGTTTCAAAATTTCTTCCTTCACTTTGAGGTACCTATAAGGCTTAGACCGAACTGGAGGGGGCATTTCTGATGTTAACTTCATGCTGCACCACTTGGCGGAAACCGGGATTTGCAAATAATTTGAAAAAGGTTTTAACAAATTTTTGATTTTTTTTCCCCCTCTTTTTGGAGGTGGTTCAGGTCAACGTCTGGAAGAATTCCCTCGTCTTTTTCTACAGTATCCATCTGAACTTGTAATGTGGAGGTCTTAATATTTAATTTCGCGCTTGCTACGCGTAAAACATCGGTCTCCAAAATAACCGAAGTTAGTTATATCCCTAAGTACAAGAAAATTTTCTCCTTGTGTCTCAGCTTTGATTTGAACGTACAGACCTACTTTTCCAATGCAGACACACTGTTTTCCTTGGGCGGAAATTACCCTCTGTTCCGTGATTTTAAATAGTCTGTAACGGCGAAAATTCTTTAAAACAATCTTGCTACAAAAACTGAATTATGCCCCATTGTCGAGTAAGGCGGTAGTGAAAACATTGTTCAATAAAATATGAATTTCCGGTAATATTAAATTTTGTACGACTACCGTATTTTATTTAATTTCCGAGGGAGTTTTCTTCCCAGAGGGTGACCGACCCTTCTTTTAGACCACCCTGAGCAGTTTAAATCCTTTTTCTCCGCCGTTTCTGCCGCGTTTTCAGCGATTCTTCTCTGAAATTTCGCGGTAAATTGAAATAAGTTTTCTAGCGTCTCAGGGTTTCTTATTTCTAGAAAATCTTGAATTCACGGGAGTAGAGGCAGCAATATCACTTCAATTAGTTTGTTACCCGTCCTCTTTCCGCATAATAAATTAAATATTTGGATTTTTCTAAGAGTCGAATAGGTCGAAATAGGTCTGATATTTACTAAACAATCCTGCTTCTAGCTTCGTTTAGTCTTTAACTACGGGAAACTCTTTCAATAGCGCTGTTTTAAAGTTTTGCCATGTGCAGGTTTCCAATCCTGGATCCCCAACAGGAACTTCCCGATTCGCTTGAACCAACTCAGCCTGGCCTTTTAAGTTAGCTGTATCAGTTGTAATATTCTGCAGCTGGTTCACATGATATAACGTGAAATCCAGCTCCAGCTGCTCTAAGTCATCACGGAACCTTTGCCATCAAATGTTGCAGCTGGTTTCATAGCTGCTCGCATGGTTTCTACGATGAAACCGAATCCTTCCATAGGATTTGTTAGTGGCTGAGGAATTTGAAAGGTCTAAGAGGTAAACGTTAATTTTTCGTTTTCTAATGGCATACTTCGTCAAACTGCTTCGAGCACCAATGTAGTGTTCCTTCCTTCTATCTATTAACTATGTGTGGAGGAACTTTGGGAACTGTTAAGCGAATAATCGTTTAAGTCCAGAAACATAAACGTAAAACTCAAGAAGGCTTAATTACTCTTTATTGCTCAAACTAAAGTGTACAGTCAGTCCCTGTCTTAGGACGCACAACAAAGCCTCCACTTGGGCTTAACTTAAAATGTAAGAAATAAGAAATAACTAATGACTAACTAAAGAGTTTGAGCTGAAGCTAACATAATTCTAACCTAGTTGTTTCATAATATTAAACTGGCCAGCGAAGCTATCGAAAGCCGAGTTAGTACACAGCCGAGTTAGTATACAGCAGAGTTAGTAGCGGTTAGAGAGACGTAGCCAAAAGGCAAACGCGCGCTGTTCAGGAATCCTAACTCTCTCTCTCTCGAAGCCACTGCAACTTTGGCTTAAATACTTTCTACTTCTCATTTGCATTTAAAGCGATTCTAAAAACTCATTCCGGTAAGAAATTGTAAGCTGAAATTGTAAGGTGCAGGTTTCCAATCCTGGATCCCCAACAGGAACTTCCCGATTCGGAAGAGATAGGAAAGGTGCATAAACTTAAAATAACTGTTATAAAATTAGGATATACTTAATTTTTTCATAAAATTTGGAAAAGGATCTTTTCTAATACACTGGGAGTCTAACTGAACAGTATTAACTTGAGGTCTAAAATTCTGGTGTGGGTTTTGTTGAATATATAAGCAGCATCCTCAACTAAATTCGAATATGAAATGTTATATTAAGTATTTAAGTACGACTAATAATAGAAAAATTAAGATAAAAATAAAAAAATAATAGGAAAGTTAGATAATCACGGGAAAAACTAATATTCATGAAATCTTAAAAGTTCTTTAAGATTTGCGGAAATATTCACAAAAACGCGCATCGCGATAAAGCTCTTGCACTAATAATGGTTCATAACTATTAAAATGCCATATAATGATAAAATAGCATTCTATAAATTACTAGAAATAACTGTGAAAGAAAAATTACAAATATCCTTATTGTTTGCACTTGTAACCTTTAAAAGCATAGCAGAGTTAACATAATTCGAAAGCATACTTATAAGCTTTGCAGCTAGAAGTCTTAATTATGTTTCAGAATCTGGTTAACAAAGTTAAGATTTTTGTGCCTTTATGTTATCCCAGATTTTTGACGGAAACAAATGTTGTATTACTTTAAGTGATACTCAGAACTGATGCTTTTGAAAAGAGTATTATTAATATTTTGTGTAATATTACCAATATATTTTGAGTGTACATCTACGAAGAATTTTTTATAATGAGGTATTATTCTTACAGTATTTTCAAATTTTCTTTATTTTTATTGCTTCTACTTTCATTATTCAATATGAGCGAGTTCTTTAGACAAGGGGAATCGAGCTAGGAGCGAGGTATAAATTTTCAGTATCAGAAGACACAGTCTGGGTTTCCACAGTAATTTATATTTATAACAAAATGTGCAGATAACAAAATTATTTTGCTCATGGATTATAAAATGGTGTAATTGCTATTTTATGAGCTCAAATTCATTTGTTTAAAATTGATTTGTGTTAAATACTCATTTGTATTAGACGTAACTATAAGCAGAGGGTGACAAACTATAAGCAGAGGGTGACAAACTATAAGCAGAGGGTGACAGTCTGTACACAGTCTCGAATTATTTATTAAATCTCAGTGTTTTAATTCCTATCATCATTTTTATTTTATATCTTAGAATGGGAAATTTCATTAAATAAGGTAAATCTTTAATAACTTTCTCCAAATCTCTTTTTTGTTCCATACCTAAAATTAAATTATCTTATTTTCCTAACATCTGATTATCTTATTAGCATAATTGGATAAAAATGTAGTAATAAAAATTTTTTTCCAGTTCTCCACTCTTAAAGTTTTTCGACAGCATTAAAAGTTTGCTAAAGAAGAGGTTTTATTCAGAGGAGAAAGAATATTTAAAACGAAAAATTAGCCAAAAGAAATATTTTTAATACTACTGTTCTTAACATTTTTGTAAATATTTGTGTTTATTCGTAATATTTGTGTACATTTTTGTAAATATTTGTGTTTATTTGTAATTTGGTTTTTATGTATTTTGTAGTATTGCATATTGTTTTTATTTATTTGCTGATTTATTAAGAGCACTTCGTACTATAATTTTAAGCTTATTTATTGTGTATTATGTTTAATTCTTAATGTGCGGTCATTTACTGTTTTTGTATGTAATTATTTTATATATTATTGAGTAGAAAGTTTAGTTTTGAGTCGATAGGAGTTGAATTTGTAAGAATAGATCAAACAGAATCCGAGGTATGGAGAGAAATTTCCCTAACGTGTTTTAGTTACAATTTGTATCATCACTTATCGATTTCTTACCAATATGGCGCCATTCCGTAAATTTCTTATTTTGGAAGCACAATGAGAAATTTTTCGGAAAGATTCTCGACGTATTTATCTTTCTCTTGAGCTATATTATAAATAGGAGGCTGTGAGCCTCTTAAGTTGAGATTTGGCGTATTGTAGACAATTCTACTACTGGGCTTACTGATCGGTAACATTGCCTTAGACTTTGCTCCGTAAGATTTTGATAATTTCTGGCATTTCTCGCATGATAAAGATACTTTAGATTAATTATTGTGTTCTGCTTAGGTTAGTTTTAGTCGTTGATCTCATTTATAAGGATTTTTATTTATCTCAAGCTGGAAAACATTTTGACGTTTTCCTGTTCATCTGGCCTACTTATTTAAGGAGATCTTTAGAAACAAGCAGGATACAGTCAGTTTCGTGAAATGTCATTACCACTGTTCTAAATTTCGAAAGAATGAAAACATAATTATCAAGAGACAATTTTCTTTACGTGGTTATTTTTCAAAGGTAAATTAATTAAAGGAACCTCTTAGAATCAAAATTATACAAAGCAAGTACATATACTATTTTTCACCTTCATATGTTTCGGAAAGTGAAAGATCATGTATCATTAAACGAAAATATTAATTTCAGTTATAAAAATATAAAATGCAGTTTTCTGAGACAAAAGCACTTTCTTTGAAAGTGTCATGCAAAATATCATTCTACTCATCTAGAAGATTTCGAAGTTGACTAAAGTAAAAGTCAGTAAAATTAAAAATGTATTTTAACTTTTTGAATTTTACATTCTCATTTATCCTTCGTATTGAACACAGTAGCTCACAACCGGTAACGTTTAAATCACTTTCAGTCTCTGTTATAACAAGAAAATAGGTATCTTATCTGTAAAATATAATTATTGCTTTAAAACGTTAAAAGGTAGTTTGTGAACTTGTTGATATTAGAAAAATATTTAACAACATCTGTATCATGTTGCTTTATTTTAAAATTCTAGATATTTATAAACTGATAACTTTCTAAAGGAGACAGACTTCTTTTGCTGAAATACATGGGAAAAAATCCCAGAAATTCCCTGGTTGAAGGAAGTGCATCCAAAGCGATTTGCCATTGTAAAGTGGGTCTTACCACTACCCCTTTGATGGTTCAGTGCCATTGATGTTTTCTTCAATAATAAATATTCTGTTATTGGCAAACTTCTGTGAGAAAGTTATTTTGTGAAAAACAAAAAGTACGTAAACATAATCTATTTGTTACGGTATTCTATCTAAAAATAATTTGCTTCATTTCAATTTTGAAAGGCTTTATTTCAAGGGCGTTTTTGATTCTGGTAAACTCAGAAAAGAAAGTATCAATTTGACAAAGTCTGGTTGCTGGTATGCTTCTCTCGTTTGCATACAGTAAGCTTAATTTGAGCGTCCTGACAGTTTTATGACTAAAGTTTAATTATTGGAACAAAATTGAGGAAGTTAATGATGATTAAATTATGGAATACATGAAAATTCACTTAATTGAGCGAAATTTTGTTTTGGACCTTGTTTTACATAAATAATCTCCTATCGAATATGTACTTTTTGAAGTCTAAGTTCTTTTATGAAACATCTAAGAAGAACATGCAAGAAGAGAACATCCATGAGAAATATCCAAGAAGTGTTATCGAATGGTTTAAATAAAATAATGTCCTTTCAAGGCCTTATATGCCTATAACGTAATAGTGAATTTTGAAAAATGAAAAGAAAGTTTGGATGGTCTGTGCTTACAGGATTTAATATCTATATTAACTAAAGATTTAACATGCATTAAATATTAAAAATAAATTCCCATTACTTATGATATTTTAAGAGCATGAATTTAAATTAAGAACTAAAAAATTGAATTAATAAGAACTAAAAAATTGAAACATCATAAGTTAATTCATACAGCTCCTTCTGACATAGGCATCAAATATGACACGTAAAGTATTACATAGCTTTGGTCATTTTGTTCTCCCACGAGAATGAATTTTTATTATGTAGTTTCATTATCCCTTTTCGTTGGCATGACAGGAAACGTGGCATGAGAATTCAAATTGGGTACTAATTTTAATGCTCACCTATTAACACAATTAAGATTTTGAAGATTTATTGCATTGTTTTGAAATAAAATAAGAAAAAGGTACTTGAGTATCACTTTGAATGCTAATTAGGGGAAATTAATCCCCCAAAATATTTATGTTAATGCATGACTCTTTCAAGATATTACTCAATTCAATGACAAATAAGATATTTTCAATTGTTATTATGTATTATTATTTCAACACACGTAATCGAAAGCAAGTAAAAACATAACGCAAATTATTAACTTAATATTAGCATATTCTTACAAAATCTTCAGTGATCAGTTACGTTAATTGAGATATATTCATCTAAATAAGCAGGTCATTACTTACCGGCGACTAAACTTAGAGGCAATGAATACGGACAATTTTCATTTACTTTTTGCCCTAAATTAAAAACAAAAGATATTAGAATCTATGAATTAAAAGTACTATTTTGTAAAAAGAGTTATTTTTCATAGAAGCTACAGTTAATAAAATGTAGCTTTAATATTTTCTAGTTTTTGGTGCTTTTGCGTAATAAAGGAAACGTTGCTCGATAAAAGTTTTAAGGAAAGCACAATACTTTTCTACTTTAGTAGTTTTTAATCATGATATTGCATTTCGAGTAGCAGTAATCATACTTCTTAAAATAGTTTAGCTTTCCTCCGTATTTTGATACCTCCTTACGTAAAATAAATTGAAATTTATAATACATTTTGAATTTGCCAAATTGTAAGTTATTTTTAATTTTTAGTTTTGCTCAAACCAGATAGAATTTCGTAGATCGTAGGTCAGTCTTTCTTAGCAGTTACTCTGCCTCGAAGAGACCTTCGTTTCTCTATCATCAGAAGTCTTTTGGTGAGTTCATGAATAAAATTAGACACATTCCTCATGATAACAGAGGAAACTTTCAGTGTACATCGCAGTTATTCTTTGGTAAGAGGAAACATAAATCCTAGCAAAGAAAAACAATCTTGTTGCTACCACTGTAATATAATAAAGCAGGGACTTGAACTAGAACAAGCCAGTGAAGACAAAAGTGATTAATAGTAATACTATATAAATATGAATTTGTCCCACTATCTAAGGGGAATGCAACAGGACAAAAGTAGGAGAATAACCATGGTTCCAAGCTAATATTAATGACAGAAAGTCAATAATTGTGTTTTTTTATTTTGGTGATCACATTTAATAATCAGTAGCGATAAAAATAATTTATAATGTTATGTTCTTAAATAATTTATAATTTTAAGACTCGCATGTACAATAAAGAGCGCAAAATATTTATTTGCTATTGAAAATGATAAGCTTATTTACGCAACTTGCCAAAAGAATTGAAAGAATACACAATTAAAGGACCACTATTAAACTACTAGCCACTAAATTACTAAATGCATACTTGCAACTATTTAGTCGCTTATACACTAACAACACTAAAACTTAACATTACTAAATCTAAATATGGTGCTAATTAAATTCCAGAAGCAAGGGGAAGGTATCCGACAAATTAATCCTAAATTTAGCTAGACAATAAAATGAGTTCACACGGCAAACCAAAACGCAAGAATATAGTTTAGAAGAAAAATGTTTTTGCAAGAAGAAAAAAAAATCTGTTCTAGGTTATATAAATGAATGCATGCTTTCGGAATTATATGTTATGTCAAATTTGTGCTTAATAATGCAAATTAGAATACATATATTACCTCAGTGAACCTTTATAAGAAGAGTTGAATATATCGATAAAGCTTTAGACGATAATTATTGTAAATATTAGAGTTATATTAGTTTTTATCCGTAGAACGGACATCTAAATTTAAAACTGCAGACGAACTCCTTTAATCTCTTAAACAGCGAACAAAGAATTTGAAGTATTTGAAAAAGTTAAAAATTATCTAACAAAATGGAATTTATCCGAAAACAAAATGATAAGTGCAACAGTTGATAAAAATAAGTTTGAAGGGGAAAAATGCTGATGCATGGAGGACATTTAGGGATAAAGTTTATGAAAATTACCATGGTTAAAATTTAATTAATGCTCATTAAACCTATTATGTAAAAATGTGTTAAAAGTTCAAACATAATAATGCAATATATCTACATTATTAAGCCTGTAGATTTAATTCGATCAAGGGGATTGAAATGTAAACTATTAATCAGTTTTCTTCAAGATATTGAATTTAATTGTATAACTATTCAATACCATAGCCAAATTTGATAGCTTATAAGTTAACAATATGTAAAAAATGATATCATTAATTTTTTTAAAAAAGAAAAAAATACTATAGACCTTTTTGAAGTAATTGAATTGTGATTCGATTGTGATTTAGCTTTTACGCTAGACATCGTGATACACTTAGACATTTTTAACATGACATTACAAGATATTTATACACATAATGATACGTTCAGATGTTTGAATGGATTTCAATTACAATCAAGTTGTTCCAATGATATTTATTAAAATAAAAGATATTTTTCAGCTATGAAGTTATTAAATATAATAGAAAGTCAATTTCACCAATATGTTGAAATTATGAACGCACTGAATGATGACTACAAAGATAAGGTGATTTACGAAAAACTGAAGGGTGTTCGGTTATAATTTCTGAGTCAATTTCAACAGAAATTGATAATGCACCAATGGAGCTACAACGTGAGATTTTATGCATAGTAATACTGATTTAAGAAAATTGCACAATCGTAAGAAATCTGTAAAGTTTACAATACTCTTAATTTGGACAAATTCTATAAACTAAAGATTTTCCTTACAAATGTTGGTTATTTTTCGATCAAGTCACATATACAAAGAAATAATTTTTCTGAATCTCAATAAAAGTATTTCACGATTAAGTATAATCGATGACTGTTTATACGCAGTTTTAAGAACATTGCTACAAAATTAAAATCTGAAATAAAAACAAATGTTGAAAGATGTAAATAGCATCATTCGTCTTACTAGGTTGTTCGTTTTTTAAAATTTCTTTTTGCATTAGACCTCACTTTCCGTACTGATAACAATTTACAATTAAACTAGTATTTCATTTGAGGTTCGCATTTTTGTAATACTTAATGAAGATAATCGACCAAACGGTTTGGTGAATCCTGCGTCAGAAGCTAATAGAAATTCTTTCTACTGAAGTATGATTTTGAATGTTTTTATATAAACTGTTGAGTTATATTAAAAATAACTTTCAGAAGACGATCAGAGTGTGATTTTTCTTTTTCTAGTTCACGTTATCTCCATTAAAAAGAATGTACAGAATCTGATACTCTCTAGAGATACTTTGTCTTGTTTAATAAGCTCGTCATTATTTTAAAAGCATTCATCCAGCTTATTTTGGAAAAAAGTTAGAATACAAAAAATGTTTTGTTCTTTCTTTAAAAATCCATTCAATATTCCTTCTTTCCCCTTACTTTATGCTCTCCGTTTCTTTGTTTTTTCCTTCTTTCTTCACGAGAGTGAAAGATATCTTCGCAGCTAAAGAAGTTTGATTGTCGATATAAACTGATAAGCATTTATTAAACCTAAATCATATGAGTTATACAGACATATAAATATATAGACCATAGATGAGTTGCGGTTTCTAACAGAAGTATAGGAATTTGGGTTATTTGATAAATTTAACAGGTTTAAGCTTTAGTCACAGATTTCCTTTTTATAATTTTGATCTGTCTTCAGAGTAATCACAGTAGTTTCAAATACCAGGAAATCACAGTAATTTCAAAACTAAGTATACAAATATATTGAGGATTGCGAGGATTTTATACTAAGAATAGAACGAGGGATTTGTGGGCCAATGACTTTGCATTTTAGGAGATCCTCCGTAGTGAAGGAAAGGATTACAAAAGTTTTCTCCTAGTCATTTACTGAACCATCTAAAATACTAAAATCATTTAAGCATTCAATGTATGGGGGGCCCACCAGCGGCCGAGCGGTAAAGACGCTGAACACTGGTATTTCGGTCCGAGGTTCGAATACCGCGAACGGGCTGGCTGCATGGCCGTTTCCGTGGTTTACCCCATGTTTAACGTGTATACGAGCCAGCTTTCCTTAGAAAGTCCTCCACGAAAGCATTCCTCCCTTTAGGCAGA